GCCTGCTTCTCCCTCTCCCACTCCCCCTGCTTCTGTTCCCTCTCTCGCTGTGTCTCTCTCTGTCAAATAAATAAATAAAATCTTTAAAAAAAAAAAATAAAAAAAAAAATAAAAAGCCTCAATTCCATAAAATAGGAAAGCGATGGGGTAAGGTGGATAGTGGGAATGAAATACTAAAAGATAAAATGTGTCCTGTGGTCTCCAGTGAAAGTGATCAACACTGACTGCCACCTGGCTCATGTTTATTAAACTAATGATGAGCTCAGAGTTGACAACTGCTGAATGAAGTTATGCTGTGAATGAGTTCCCTGGTCTGTCAAGACAAGACGACCTAGTTAAAATAAGTGTCCTTAAAAAAAAAAACACACCATGTCACACACAGACTTTTCTTTAAAGAGTCAGTCATATTGCTTTTGAACAAAAGCCGGAGATGAAATACACAAACAAAAAAGAGCAATCTATGTGGAAGAACCCAGAGGCAAACAGAGGCTGAATAAAGTATTGTAAGCTATGCCGCGCTGAGTTCCCTGGGATTGCTCAGTGGAATGCTCTGGATGACCTCCACCAGTTCTCTTTTCTGCTTCCCTTGGCTATACAATATTATGTCAGGAGATCATAAGCCAGTTATCAGCCTCTCCAGACTGGAAATGTGTCTTTTGTTTCCAGAATAAGCATAGTTAGATAAACTAAGAAGGAAGTAAGAAAAGGGCTGGAGTCAAATCTTAAGTTGACTTTGGCGTTTCCCTCTTCCCTGAACCTCCAGGAAAATGGGGCATAGAAGCCAAGACAGCACTTAAGATCAACGTGTGATAAATTTTTACATCTATGAAACAGTTCCTCAAATAACCAAACACCAGTGTGGTTTGGCACTATTTGTCTCTCAGAGGCAGGAAAGAATTATCCAGAATCTGGTCTTCCTTTTTTTTCTAGGTATTGCATTAGGTATCCAATAAGACATAATCTTTGTGTGTTAGGAGCTTATGGTCTGCACTTGAGCTTACCTAAAATTTAATTCAACAAATATTTTCCAGGAACCTATTGTCAAAAGCCATGAGCTTTTTTGGTTTTGTGTTGTTGTCAAAATTAGATGCTGCTTTCATCCTTCCTCAGAACACTAAAACCCAACTTTCTTTTCTTTTCTCGTCATGACTTTTTCCATCTCCATACTGGCTCTTCTACCCACTGATGGTCACTTCAGTCCTTCTTTGGGTTCTATTCCAGTTTTTGGTCACAAAGAGCCAGACAAGAACATTCCAAGGAAAGAATCCCATAGACCGGCAATTCTCCTGGTTGGGTTGTCTTAGTAAGAGCAACTATAGTATAAACATGCCATTAAAATCTTTTGTTCCTTTGGGAAAGAAAACAACTCAGATTGAAGAGTGGGGATCATCCAGACAAGCCAATTTGACTCTAAAAGCCTGACTGAGAAAAATTTCCCACATGCCAGTGCCTTCTTACTATTGTATCCGGAGCTCTGCCCATCCATGCTCTTTGATATTTTATACAATAAAAAGCTCTTTTGAAACCAAGTTAATAATATATAAAACTGCAGCTAGGCTCAATTTAAAAATATCCATTACTTAACTCACTGTGGTTGGTAACCACATTGATATACTATATAACGTCAAACCGCATCTATTAGTTTTATAGCTTTAACATACGAACTCCAATGAAGTTCTACTGGACTAGGAAGTAAGAAGTAAAGTCAAAGAAAACAGAGGGGAAAATAGAATGGGAAAATAAAGTAGGAAAATGAATGGAGAACTCCTTAAGTGCTGAGAAATTATAAATAACTCAAGAGGGAAACAGAGTTATCACAACAAAGGAAAATGAAAAGGACTCAAAAATTTCTTTCACCATAATTCTGTTTTAAATTGAGTCATTTGTTAAACCTGGCAACAAAGTGTATTATTAATAATAATATAGGAATGTTTGATTTATTTCCTTGTGGATTCTCTGGCCTTTTCTTTGACATTTATTTGCAAGCAGACTAGAGCATTTTCTTCTATTTAATATCTGGGTAAAAGAATACATGGAATATATTTCATCTCTCTTAAAAACAACTGTCACAATCGTGACTCTGGTCTGGGGGATACCAGGCTCAAAGCCATAAAACAAAATATGAACTTGAAGAAATTGTTTTTTAAATTCTATAAAAATGTGATCTAAATGGGCCATTTCAATCATTTGTGAATAACAAATATATTAAGGTTTCTTACTGATAAATAGATTGCCTCTAAAGGGAGCTTGTTAATGGTTACATGAGGAATCATTGTAGAATATAAGATACTCACGTTTTAGGATATTTCTTTGCTCTAATTCTTCAGTCGTGGGCCTCTGGCTAAGTCTCCTGTGATGACAAAAAGGATATACCGCAGGTTACAAACAAGGCCTCCTTGGTGGGAGATGCAAAATAAAATAACAAAGACACAAAGCTTTATTTTTTTTCCTGTTTTGAGAAACACAAATCCATTTTAAACCTACAAAATAGGTTACCATCCTTTCTGTTAGTTTGGAGACTAAAGATTGTGGTTGAGACCGCTACCTACTCCCCATTATCCATTCTTCCATCTTCCTTTTAGACCTAGAACCTCCTGAGATCTAGCTGTGGCTCCCAACTACAGACTTCTGCCTCCCCAGCAGCAAGGTGTGGCCATGTGATCGAGTCCCTGCGATGGGATGTGAGCAGAGTGGTATTTGTAACATTTGCTTTTTACCCTTAAAATGACTGAGTGTGCCTTCCCTTTTCTCTTTCCTTCCCCCACAGGCTAGAACTTAAACATGGTCACGTAAGCCAGCTTGGATCATGCAGATGAGAATATCCACGGAGCAACAGGACAGAATCTGGGTGCCCGGCTGACTGCAAGGAATAGAGCTCCCCACCCACCCTGGACAGCCCACCTACCTCTGGACTGTTATGTGAAAAGGAAATAAACACATGAAAGTGTCTTATTTGGACCACTGCACTTTTTGGTCTCTGTTAGAACAGTTTCCCTGTCTCCTAATTAATACACAGATCATTAGAATCTATGAAAGTTTTCTGCTTGAGAGTTCATACCAACTCAAAAGATGCTTGGTCTACACTGCACAGAGTTTCAAGTGAAATATTGCTTTTGAGGGGCGGTTGGATGGCTCAGTCATTAAGCGTCTGCCTGCGGCTCAGGTCATGATCCCAGGGTCCTGGGATCGAGCCCTGCATCGGGCTCCCTGCTCAGTGGGAAGCCTGCTTCTCCCTCTCCGACTCCCTGTGTTTGTGTTCCCTCTCTCGCTGTGTCTCTCTCTGTCAAATAAATAAATAAACTCTTAAAAAAAAAAAGAAAACAAAAGCCAGGCTCATTTGCGATTAGTAGCTAACTATTTGTACACAAACGCTGAATGACCTAACAACCCTTTATAACTTTGTTCTTGGTCTTGCTTATAGTATTAATTTGCTGTTAATCACAGATTTGTTGTAAAATTCCTTCTGGATGTAGGAGGAGTTTGTGCAAAGTAAACATATATATGAAGGTAATCTTAATATAAGATACTATCAATTCTAATGTTATGCCTGTGGCAGAAATGGAGTGAAGAACTGAAATCAATGGTATTTTAAATACCTCATTAAAATTTTTGTTAAAGCTTAATCTTCGTCAGAGCCACTTTGAAAGTAACTTACATAACTGAGCCTACAGAAGAACCCAGGGAGCTACGATGAGGTGCCACCCACGTACCCATGTATCCTGTTACGTATCCTCCACCAAAGACATCCTCCTCCTTTTGCTGATGGAGTTTCCTCCTTCAGGAATGCCCTCCTCTCTTTCTCCACCTACTGAAATCTTACAAATGACTAAAATAGTAACCTGCAGGTGGGCATTTGACCTGTCCCGCGAGTGAGTTTTAAACTCCCGGTTGTCTGCCCTACGCGGTGGTCACACACAGATCACACAGCTGTGAGAGCACTTACAACACAAGTAATAATAAAAATAAGGCAATCATCATAGTTCTCATTAGGTCATACTTTTAAAGTCCCAGGCACTGCGCAAGGTGCTTAATTTACATTATCATGGCTCCTCAAAATAGTTCGGCAAGGGAGTAGCCAGTTCCCATTTTACAAACGAGGAAATGAGAGATTAATTCACTTGCCTGAGATAAAGTACTAGCGTGTTAGAGTACAGCCTCATTCCTAGTTCTCTTGACCTACATGCTTGTGCTTTTCATTGACCTCACCATGCAGTATGTCTTTCTGTCTCTTCCACTACACATAGAGTCCCCCAAGGTAGGGACTATGGGTGATTTATCTTTGAATGACAGTGACTAGATGTACAGTGTTTGTAGAAAAACAATTCTGTAAAATTTACATATTTTGAACACTAAAATCTCTACTCAAATAAAATTTTTTATGGATATGGTTTATGTGTACACTTACAGAGGCTCTCAAACCTTGGGGGGTTGGGGTAGAATCCTTACATAAAACAGACAGAAGAAGCTGTTCATGGCTGAGCATGGGGTGAAGGAGCACCTCCCATCCCACCGCAAACACACCCACACCGCCCCTGGTGGCCCCACAGAAGCCCGAGTATCGCCTCCAAGAACTCCTTGATGAGGCAGTCAGAAAACCACTGCCCTAGGCTTAGTTCACCTTCTCCCAATGTCCTTCATCAGTCCCCTGTTTTTAAGCATTTGGTTTAATTTGCCACTGCTATAAATAGCCTTGAAATAAACATCTTTGTAAAGTGTCCTGGTTTTGTTTTCCTTTTGGATTATTTCCTTCTTTTTTTTAAAGATTTTATTTATTTATTTGACAGAGACAGCGAGAGCAGGAACACAAGCAGGGGGAGTGGGAGAGGGAGAAGCAGGCTTCCCGCTGAGCAGGGAGCCCGATGTGGGACTCGATCCCAGGACTCTGGAATCATGACCTGAGCCGAAGGCAGCCGCTTAACGACTGAGCCACCCAGGCACCCTGGATTATTTCCTTCTTGTATCGTCTCTCAAACGGAATGACCACGTAAAGAAAGAGACCGCTTTACGATTCCTTTTCTTCATACTGTTAAGTTGTTCTTCAGAAATAATGAACAAAGGTGCCAATATGGGGTTTAATTTTAAAAAATGTTTTAGCTGTTGGTTAACCAATATATAATGATTTAAATTACTAATAAAAATATTTAATTTTGTTAAGTGCTTGCTACGATCCAGGCACTCAAGGGCTTTAGTGCAGCATCTCATTTCCCCACCACAAGCCACTGCTTGGCCCCATCTGTCAAACAGAGAAGAGCCTCTGGAACTGCACCCCCCAGGCCAAGCCTGCAGATCCAACACAGTCACAGAAGTCTTCCATTTCCAAGCAAGGAGAGGGATTTCTTCCAGTTCCAAATCCTGCCCTGGGATCCCAGACGGCTCCCTTCTCCCAACTGATGCACTCTGTTGTTTACGCAGAGTGAGAGAAGTCAGCAAAATAGATAATACTACTAAATATGCTTAAATTGATCATCAAACAATGGCACTCACTTCTATTAAAACTGCCAGTTCAATGGACTTCCAAAGGCACTGGTGGCCAAAGCAGAAACCCTACAATGGCTGGAGGCAGAGTGTGAAATCAGATAACAATTTGTTTGAAGTTAAAAGGGGAAGGTTATGATAGGGGGGCTACAGTAACCTGACTTGGATGGTCATTGTAGCTAGCTCCCTATTTCTATAGTCTCAAGGCCCACAGGGCAGAACCCCATGGCAGTCCCAGGAATGCCAGAGAGTCCACGGATTAGACCAGGAGTTGGGCAAACTATGACCTACAGACCAAATCTGGCCTGCTGCTTATTTTGGTGAATAAAGTTTTTTTTTTTTTTTTAAGATTTTATTTATTTATTCATGAGAGACAGAGAGTGAGAGAGGGGCAGAGGGAGAAGCAGGCTCCCAAAGGGCAGGGAGCCTGATGCGGGACTCGATCCAGGGACTCCAGGATCATGACCTGAGCCGAAGGCAGTTGCTTAACCAACTGAGCCAGCCAGGCGCCCTGGTGAATAAAGTTTTATTGGAACATGACCACACCCATCCGTCTATGTAACGTTCATGGCTGCTTTCACACGACAGCACGGTGATGTGGCTGCAACACCACCTCCTGACTGGTCCTTAATAGCAAAAGTTTTTTGGGCGCCTGGGTGGCTCAGTCGGTTAAGCGACTGCCTTCGGCTCAGGTCATGATCCTGGAGTCCCGGGATCGAGTCCCGCATCGGGCTCCCTGCTCGGCGGGGGGTCTGCTTCTCCCTCTGCCCTCTTCCCTCTCGTGGTCTCTGTCTCTCATTCTCTCTCTCTCAAATAAATGAATAAAATCTTTAAAAAAAAAAAATAGCAAAAGTTTTTTGACACTTGGTTCAGGCTTTGGCGATGCCAAAGCCACTGACTGGCAACTTGTTGGAGTGGTTCACCATCCAGGACCAACTTTAGAAAACCACACAGGCCAGGTGTGCCCTTACCCAAGGAATTCCCAATGATCTCAGGTGGGTAGGACAGCATAAGTGGGAGAAAAGTATGAACTGGTCAGTGCTGTAGGAACATTTCAGCCATTACCTGACGAGCTTGGTTCCAATTTGCTGTCGGATCTCCTGCCTCTCCTCTTCAGACGTGCGCTGCAAGATGTTTTTGTCCTCTAGTTCCTTCTTTGATGGTCTGTTGCCAAGTTTGATAGCAAGAGTATCCCTTCGTCGTATTTTACTTGCCAAAGCACCTGAGGATTGGAAAAGGCAGAAATGCAGAGAAAGAGGCTTTAAGCAAGCAGCACTCAGGTTACACGTGGCATGGACTTTAAACACAGTCCAGATGAAATTCTTTATCCAATGCAAGAGTGGAATTTTAATTAACCTCAGGGAAAAAAAAAAAGTTCTGAGTTGGATGTAGTTCATTTTGAAAAACTGAAGAACTATTTTTAAAAATGTCCTGAAAAATGTTGGGGCACCATGAAAAAACTTGCAAATATCACCTCATCATTTGGAAAGTGATTTTGAAGTTTATTTTGCTGAGACAGCGTATCATGGAAATTACAGATTGTGTAACACTCTTTTTTCTAAGCCTTAAAAACATAGCTCCTTTATTTATACTGTACAGTTAATTCTTGTCTTCCCCTTTCCTCCACTCAAAAATCACGCTGGAAAAAGTTTACCTATGGTAGCAATGTTTTAATCCTTAATTACCAAGAATCTTCAACAGAGGATAGTTAATACCAGGTGGATGATAATGATTTTGTCATTGTTTTTCAGTACAAACTAAAAGGAACTTGACAAACTGATGTTTCATCATTAATAACTTTTCACAATGTATAAATTCAATTCCACAGTGAATTACTCCTAAGCCATGATGCTTAGAAGTTTTTTAAAAAAAGAGCACTTTCCAGTTCCCTAAGTTATATATAAACAGTTGGCTTAATCTACTGTATCACTCCTTCCTAAAAGGCATCCTATCTCACCTATGTGGAAGAACGATTTTTTTTAATTCTTCAAAGGTATTTGTCTTTCTCAACTCATTCTTCCCTCCCCTCTCTTTAAACCCTGGTATAAAAGTGAGTGGAAGTCTCAAACATCTCCAATTAAGTAATCCAGTGAATCCAAGTTTATGCTCTTTACTCGAGAAAGATCTCAGGGGGGCACCTGGGTGGCTCAGTCGGTTAAGTGTCTGCCTTCGGCTCAGGCCATGATCCCGGGGTCCTGGTATCGAGCCCCGCATCGGTTTCCCTGCTCTTCGGGGAGCCTGCTTCTCCCTCTCCCTCTGCCTCCCTCTCTTTCTCTGATGAATAAATAAATAAAATCTTAAAAAAAAAAAAAGAAAGATCTCAGAGTGGAAGGGCCATCTCTGATCATTCTGAAAACACCTCTGTCATTAGAAAGCTCTGATTCCTTGTACAAATACAAATGTGCATATCTTCCTCATAGACAAAGGCCTGACCCCCTGGCCCTTGTGGAACCATCTTCTGGAAAGGCCTGTCATCAAAAGCTAAACCTCAGAACACACACAATTCTAATCTAAGAAAAGAATATGAGGGGAAAGAAACCATCAGCTATCTGATCACCGATGGCTTCTGTAATCTACAAAACGCACCTGCTTCTATCCACCATCCACTTTCCTCCCCACCTCTTGAAAAAAGTCTTACTTTCTCCACTGCCATCCTCCTCCTCCTCTTCATCATCGTCATCATCAGTGTACAAGACAGGCCCATCAGAGTCCGAGTCATTGGCCTGGGCCTCCCTCTGGCCTTCATCCTCAGGGGCACTGAAGGATTCTGAAGATTCTCCCGTCAGCCCAGGAATCAGTAGCTGAGCTGCCACCTTTCCCGGCTCATCTTTGGTTGTAAAACTGTTAAAGGCACAAGAACACAGGGGTGGAGTGAAGCTCAGAGCAACCCTCGGGGACAACACCAACACCATGAGAAGGAGCCCGAGATTCATGAGCATCTTTCAAGTTGGCGAAAGGAGAAAGCAATCATAGGCAGGTAGGAATGGTGAAATGGAACAGGAGTATACGGTAGGACTTCATTCTCAAGGTTTTTGATTCTTCCTCTATAAAATATAAAGGAATGACTAGATGATGTCTGATATATTTAGTACATGAACATGGTAAAACTATAGTTTGCAAATTGATTTTTCCATAGCCATGGGGCCTCAGTGGAAAGAACAGTGGACTAGAAGTTTCTGGATATTTGACTTTGTCTATCCTTATTCTGTACCTGTAACTCCTACTTATCCTTCAAGCCTCAGCTAAAGCCATAGCTTCTTCAGGAATCTTTGAGTGGCCTTCCATCTAGATCCTTGCCCCACCTCCCAGCTCTTAAGGTGATCTGAAGACAACCCCACTGGAGCACTTAGCACACTGCACCTCGACCACCATTCACTTGTCTGCCATCTCAGCCCTCAAAGTTCCTTGACAAGTGCGATTCATATTGATTTGCAGCCCAACACCTAGAAAGGTAGTGACAGAAAAACATACCTTCTTTAATTGATGTATGAATTAATCCTATTTTCATCACAGCCAGTGTGTCAAGTCAAAAAATCATGTATCGTCTCTGTGTTTTAGTTTCTCCATTTGTAAAACTGCCCCTCACAAGAATATGTTAGTAACGTGACATGGAAAAAGGGGGAGTTAAACGCACTCTATACAAGAAAGGTGATGTGCATGTATGTAATAATTTCCTATTAGTTAGCTTGGTAAGAGTCTCTGGTTTAAAGTTACTATAAATATACAAAGCCTGCCAGTTTTCACAGACTAGAATAGGAAAAAAAAATGTCATTGAAAACATACCGAAAACATATCATATCAAAAACAATGTAATCTTCATTTTAAGATTCAGAAAATCCCCAAATTGCCTTCTGATAAAAACAGAAGAATCCAAATTTGGATGTCACACTTCTGAAAGACCGTTTTGTGCAAAGCATGTGCTTGCTGTTTTCATTAACTTAAAAAACCAAAAAAAAAAAAAAAAAAAAAAAAAAACCAAAAAAACCCCCCAAAAAAGTTCTTTGAGTAATAAAAACAGGTAAACTTTGTCAGAATCTGAGGTATTGAAAATTGTACTTTGTGGTTATTAGTCTAAGCACTCTAAAAAATTTTCAATTAGAAAAAGCCAACAGCCAAAATTCTTGTTTTCAAAGGGGAAACTATGCACAGCATATTTTATTTATTTTTATTGAGTAAAATATGCATGGCATAAAATTTTACATTTTAACCATTTTAAAGTATATAGTCGAGTGGCAGTTAGGACATTTACACTATTGTACAACCATCACCACTGTCCCATCTCCAGAATCTTCTCATCTTCCCAAACTGAAACTGTCCCCTTAAAGAATAACTCCCCAGGGCGCCTGGGTGGCTCAGTTGGTTAAGCGACTGCCTTCGGCTCAGGTCATGATCCTGGAGTCCCTGGATCGAGTCCCGCATCGGGCTCCCTGCTCGGCGGGGAGCCTGCTTCTCCCTCTTCCACTGTCCCTGCTTATGTTCCCTCTCAACCTCCATTTTTCTCTGTCAAATAAATAAAATCTTTAAAAAAAAAAAAAAAAAAAAAAAAGAATAACTCCCCAGTCTCATCCCCTAGCCCCTGGCAACCACCATTTTACTTTCTGTCTCTATGAATTTTGCTATTTTAGGTGCTTTATATAAGCAAAATTATGCAACATCTGTCCTTTTGTGTCTGACTTACTTTACCTAGCATGTCTTCCAGGTTCATCCATGCTTTAGCATATGTCAGAATTTCTTTTAAGGCTGAATAATATTCCATTGCATATATACGCCGCATTTTATCTATTCATCAGTCGATGAACATTTGGGCTGCTTCTACCTTTTGGCTGTTGTAATAATGTTGCTAAGGACACTGGTGTACACATATCTATTCAAGTACCTATTTCTAATTTTTTGGGCTATATACACAGAAGTAGAATTGCTGGATCACATGGTAATTCTAGGTTTAATTTTTTGAGGAACCACCACACTGTTACCACAGTATGAAATCTCCTTTTAAAATATGGACAACTTTTCCACGGTCTGGATTTCTAGTTGACTGCCACTGGAAGCCATCCTTGTCTGAACAGCCTGCCATTGTGGGTGACCACAGCACATTTAGTAGATGTGTCAATTAATAACACATTCTGAAGAGCAGAACAAAAGATACTTCAGGGCTGAGCCCTGGTATTTGTTTCTGTCACTGCTCACTAATTTATTATGATATCTATCATTATTTTCATGTCATCATTTGTATTTTATAATGTTTTATAGTTTTCAAAGACTTCTGCATACATTTACAACTTACATCTGTTCTCCAGTATAAGGGGACAGATAAATTGCAGTTCATGGAACCTGAGAAGACCATGGGTGCGTTGTCCAAAACAAGGTATCAAGTCCATTCTAGAACCCAGACTTAAGACTCTTAATCTACCTATTAAATGTTGTATTTTATTTTATACTTGATATTGTAAGTTATATTCATATTATGTAGATTATAATTAACTTAATAGTAAATTATCGTATTCCAAATTTGTGTCAATCAACTCATGATCTGCCTCTCATTTGCCCCTAGGTGTCTTGGGCACATTGGACAAAACAGTGAACTCAAGTGTTTGTGGAAATGGGACTAAACACAGTCAAGTCCCCTTTGGATATGGGCTCCAGATGGGCTTCTTAGTGTCCGCCTTAAATTATCCCAGACCTATATGATACTAATGAAGCCGCCAATAAATAGAAATCTACCACATTGTTACTACCCTGCAATATGTGAATAGAGGAAGATATTTTTACACAAAGCCACTTATCTTCTTTAAAGTTTTGATATTTGTATTCCAAACAGAAGCTTCTTCATAAGTGACAGGATTTTCACACATTCGTTCACTAAACATAACTGAAGGAAAGTTCTAAGTAAAGCAAGTGACTAAGAGCTAGAAATTCTAACTGAAATATCTACTTAAAAACGGAAGAAAGAATTTGGAAAAAAATTTGAGAGACTACTTATTCCAGGCTCATTAACTCAAGAGCAAACAAACCACTCCTGTGGAATGAACTGCTATTTAAATTTTAACTTTGAAGAACATACAGAGAAGAAAATCTCAATGCCCCCTTCTAGGAAAGGATTATAGTTATCCAGAGTGACAGAAAAATCTATATATAAATATCTCGATCTCTAATGATGTTCTAAGCTTGCTCTCTGGTCATAGTTCCAGTGGAAATAGGGAACAGACGCTCGCCTATTTGTCTGACAATCCTGTGCATACTTGGGCTGCAGACTGACATTAAGCCCCCCTCCTCGTGCAGCACAGTGCTTAGCACAATATAGTGGCTTCCCTACATGTCTGAGGAAGTGGACCAGACAGCGTCAAGTCACCTTGGGATATGGGCTCTCTCACTGCCAAAGACTATCTAAGGAATCACTTTGTTGTACCTTGTCCTTTAGTATAGTGAATAATAAACCCATATATTCAATCTATTCAGACCTATCTTAAATATTTGTACTTCCTGAGCATGTTGGACATTATGTTGGTAAGAACTATTTTTAACTATAATGTCTTGGTCTTGCTTACTTTTTTTTTCAAGATTTTATTTATTTATTTGACAGAGAGAGAGAGAGAGAGAAAGCACAAGTAGGGGGAGCGGCAAGCAGAGGGAGAGGGAGAAGCAGGCTTCCCACTGAGCAAGGAGCCTGATGCCGGACTCGATCCCAGGACCCTGGGATCATGACTGGAGCCCAAGGCAGATGCTCAACCGACTGAGCCACCCAGGTGCCCCATCTTGCTTACTTTTGTATCTTTGGTGTGAGTACACTGCCCAGCCCATAGAAGGCAAGCAGGAAATACATGCTCAAAGAATGATTTTTGAGTTCTAAAGGTTGGAGTTCATTGCAATGCTGGAAAACACACACTATAATTAAATGAAGACATTTGCTATGTGCTAGAAGTGTTACATCATAGCCATTCCTTTCAATGTCTTCTCCCATATTGTTTATTAATGTGTCAAACAAATAAAATAATTTATAATTTAACATTTATCTTTCCTTGGCTTTCCTCCAAACCATAGTACTCAAAATGATAAAAACAAAAAACAAGAAACAAACACAAAAGAAATTGCAGAAGTAGAAGCAAGTGCTTTGGAAATGTACAAAATTTCTTAGAACATAGAGTGCTGTAAGTGTGCAGCTCTGAGCCTAAATTCTGACTTTGCTACTTACTAAGTGGGGAATCTAGGGCAAACTACTTTCCCTCTCTCAGTGTCCGTTTTCTCATCTATTAAACAGATATTTCAGGGAAGACTTATGTGAATTAATGATAACTGACAGTTCCTGACATTAAATAACTATTCAATAAATGAAGGTGATTATTATCAGCAATTGAATAATTAACGACACTAGTCTCTTGATCCAAATCAACTTAATTAATGTACTAATTTTTTTAGGTCTAATATGACTAAGCTTTTTTTAAAAGAGAAAATATTAAATGATCACAAGAGTGAATTTTAGTTTTATTCTTAGAAACAGGAGAGGAGAGGTTGGATTTAAGAACGCTAAGACTTGGGGTGCCTGGGTGGCTCAGTCGTTAAGCATCTGCCTTCGGCTCAGGTCATGATCCCAGGGTCCTGGGATCGAGCCCCACATCGGGCTCCCTGCTCAGCGGGAAGCCTGCTTCTCCCTCTTCCACTGTCCCTGCTTATGTTCCCTCTCTCTCTGTGTCTCTCTCTGTCAAATAAATAAAATCTTTTATAAAAAAAAAAAAAAAAAAAGAACGCTAAGACTTCCCAAGACAGAATTGGTTATGACAACTACTATACGCCGACAGCCCTCCCTTCATACCTGTGGGACAGGAGAGCTAATGTGGTTTTTTTGCCTTTGTGGACAGGCCTTTGTGAGGAGTTAGATGCAGGGAATGAAGAAGAATGAGAACCCTTAGGATGAATCCCCAGTTTCTGGCTTGGACAACTGGATGATGTCATGTCTATGGCATTCCAGATTCTGTACTGGTTGCCAGGGATGTAGAGGCAAACAGATATATTGCGTAGCTCTGTCCCATGGAGAGAGGAAAAAAGGGTTGCCAGAGTAGAGTAGATGCACCAACCAGTTCTGTCTGGATGAGTGCTGAAATGCATCAGAGAGGAGGTAACATTGGAGTTGGGTGGGGAATTGAGGAAGCAAGAAAGGGGGCCCCTCTGAAGCTGGTGGAAAAAGGGGTGGAATCTGAGAGAGTTTTATTTTCTTCGAGAAAGAGAAGGCTAAGTGACTTGTAATGAAGGTAGGCAGGAGTGGGTGAGCCATCTGGACACAGGTAGTAAAGACTTAAAATAACCACTGTAAGGAAAGAAAAGGGAACTGTCCCGGGAAAAAAGAAAAGGAATTGCTGAACAGTGATGAAGCAGGCTCTAAATCTACTTGAAAGCCACAGATCTGAAGTGGTACCTGTCAGTAGGACCGATGTCATCTTCTCCAGTAGCCTGTGACATTCCTGGGGCAGGGCTACGAAAAAACCAATCGTTGGATGATACATGTGCTTACCTAACAATCACTAGATTACGTTGTAAAACCAAACCAAGTAGGTTCCTTCAATTCCCATAGAGTGGTTTAGTGATCTTTAGCACAATGTTTCACTGGGGATACAGATGCAATACGGGGGTTTATGCCCCGACTCACCATTTTGCATTTTCTCTGCTAACACTTAAGCCAGTGCCTGAGAGGACAGTGGTTCTGTTGGTGGGCTCTTCGGTCCAGAGAAGCTGACTTGGGTCTAAGGCAGGGATGGGCAGGTCAGCTCCATTGCTGACCAGGACAACAGGAGTGTCGGAGGCAAAAGCGCACTGCTCCTCATGAGGAAGAGGAGGGGAGGGGAGAGGAGGTGGAGGAGCCACAGGAGGTGGAGGGACTGCAGACTTAGATTTGCCTGTGGTCTGCTCATCGGTCCCAGGGACAGTCTGCTCAGGCTTGAGACTCTCCACCCTCGTCTCAGAAGGTTCTCCTTTAAGGTCAAATGTGCCAGAAGTGGTTGCATCCAAGGACGGGCGAGAGGCTGGCTGCTTGCCAGTTTTTTTCTTGCCCTTTGTGATTCCCACTGTCCCTGTTTTGCTAGAAAGTGTCTCCTTTGAAGCTTTGGGACGAGACGAGGTGGAGGAAGTAGATGGTGAAGCTGATGCTTTGGACCCAGTTGTTTTTTTTGAATGAGAGGAACCAGCTAAAACAGAGAGATTTTGCATTAAAAGTCAAAGAATAAACAAATGAGTTTAAATTTGTTTAAACAAACAAATGAGTTGCAATTGTCAATTATGATGCTCCCTGTAAAATGTTTACATTTGTCAAATAAAAGGAAATAGGCTAATAACGATAATGGTTTTATTTTCTGCCTCCTTCCTACCCAGAATCTAGGAGGGAGCCAGTGATGCTGAAGGCAAAACTTAAGGGACAAGAGGAGTCTCTCTAGTTTTTCTGGCTGGACCAGCCAAAGGGAAATCCTCAGCTGCTTGTCTTATAGGTCACCTGAATGAGTCCCTGCATGCCCCAAAGAAGGGACAACACAGTGTATAAAGGACAGACAGCAGCTGTCCTATAACCGGGCAGGTTGGGCTCATCACAAATTCTACATGTTCAATGATGTCTTTTTGGGAATGGAGCGGCCCGCATTCAGAGTGGCCAGGGTATATCCCTCTGGCTCCTTTCTGGAACAAAAGCAAATGTACTCAACTCTAAACCAGTTATCCCCATGGCTCGAGAGAGAGAAGCTTGCCATGCCAGCCGCACCTCCATCTGCAGTGGCGATGAGGCAGAGAGAAAACACATTAGAAAGGCAAGTCCCCTTCAAAATATCAAAAGGCAACTGGGTGATAGGCATTAAGGAGGGCACTTCAGGTAATGAGCACAGGGTGTGATATGCAACTGGTGATTCACTAAATTACCTCTGAAACTAATAATACACTGTATGTTAATTAAATTGAATTTAAATTAAAAAACCCCCAAAACCCACAAAATATCAAAAATTATTTTTTACAAAAAATGTCTACATGGGTAGCATTGGAATAATTTGAAGGGAAAGAATGTCATTCTCAGATCTTGTGACCAACACCCTCACAAAGCCCATCTTCCTTACCTCTTATGTTCCTAGAGGGTCTTCATCAGAGGATGGTTGGGGCCACTAGAAGGTATTTGCCTGCTTTTGGATATGATTGCCTTCAACCAAACAATTTTCAGGAAAAAAAAAAGAGCTTAACTCTCCTTTTCTTTATATCATTTTGGGAAACACATTTAAACTCCTATGAGAATAGTCTTTTGTTTCATGACCTGTATGATCTACAAATTTCTCCTAATTGCCTCTTCTGTTGTAATGTGGTACATTCCTTCTTTTTCATGAGGGGTTAAACTATCTTCCGCAGAACTATTACAAAATATCTTGTTAGTACCAGGGAGCCAATCCATAACAGATGGTATTATAACTTACCTTTACTGAAGTCAGTTGGGGGAGGGTCAAGAAATGAAGAACAAATAAAGGAACAGACAATGAGATGTAAGACTTCATCAACTCCGACATATTAAAAAAGTGTGAGTCTCACTTGGTAAGAAGATCCAGACTTAAAAGGTATCTTTATGGCTTGGGGGCTTTATTATTTTAGATACACACAACTAGAATTCACACTACCCCAAGTCTGGGCCTGCTCATACTACTTCTTTGAAGCTAACAATCTTCACTTGCTAATAAGACAAGGGTATTAAGCATACTTCTATAATCTAAGTCCATTCTAAATTTATTTTTCACAACAAAGATCTAAGGATTTGATGTCTAAATACATTCAGTTACTTTTGTAGGTAAATTGAACAGAATCCCTTTCATATACCCATACGTATATTAATGTGCATTATACATATATATTTTTAAAGAAAATTCTTTCTTTTCTAACAGTTATCTTTAGTTAACTTTAGCTCGACTTAAGGAAAAAAGACAATTTTTTCAATGCCTGGGGTGCAGCTTCAAGTCACACTTCTCTAGATACTTCTTTAAGTTTCTTTTAAAATGTCAAGACTGCTGAAATCCACCATGTCGCTTAAGCTACCTTGAATTAGGCCATGATTAAAAAAGTAAAGCCACCTCTCCTCGGTTAAATACTTTCGTTGTTAACACAGTGTGTAACAGTGAGAAAGAAAAAAAATACAGGAGATTTGACCTTACTTCACTCATGAAGCAGTTGAATGTGCTAAGCCAGCATCTGGTTATCTGGAGGTCTACACTAACCGAGGAATTGAAGAAGAATCCTAACTGATAGCTTTTATAAGAATGGAAACATCTGACTAAAAATCATGAGTTGCATTTGAAGTAACTTTTCTAGAAGGACAACATTATTCAAATAAAACAAAGCCACCACATAGAAAGTTCTAAATGGTTACAAGTGGAATATCAGTTGGAATCTGAAGGAGTATTACCAATATTTGATAAAGGCATTCTTGCACATCAGGTTTGTTGGTATAGTTCAATGAAACCCTGTTTCTCTGGGATGGCCTGAGAAGAGCAACACTGTTATTCACACTATGGGCCAGTGGAACCTTATTTAATACAATGGATAATAATGTGACTGTATTATTCTCCTAGGAACATCATGAGCCCATAAACAAACCTTCAAGTAAAATATCTGGATATAACTCAAAATCTCTCATGAAAGCTGCACCCTGTCCCGGCATTAATCACCAGCTTTCTTCTGGGAGAAACGAGAGAGCCCAAGCCAAGTCAATACTGAGCCTCTACCCTAGGGGGCAGGAGGAAGTGAGAAAGTCTGTGTAATTCCCAAGCACGGGGCAATTGTTTGGGGCTTTTCTTTAAGAAGTGGATCACTGCCTGCCTCACTTCAAGCACTGCTCCTCAGGTTTGCCGGGCAGTCTGGGAACCAGAGCGATGCCAACAAGAATGGACACAGGGCAGTTGGTACCTGAGGAAATGGCCCGTTGGCACCATAAGCACAGCATTCTGAGACATTTCCTTTCAGAGCTTATTAGAAGACACCCAGACTCTCGAGGTCAAAGGCCGAAGAGAGGAGCACAGGTAGAGAAATGTCTGTTTGTATGCGGACTTCTGCTCTACTGTTAGTAAACCATTCTCTGAGCAGTATGGGTATAAATGACGGAGGGAAAAAGATCAACATGGAGGCATATCCTGGTAGCCAACTGCAAGAAAGTAACTGATTCTGAGGAAAATAAGGTTTGCCACAACACAGGAGAATGTTTATGCGTGTGTTAGCGGAAAAAGCCATTCAGCAGGTATACTTTGATCACTGTCCTTTTTGCAGCTGGACGACATGGTAGGCTTCTTTACGCCACTTGGCTAGAAGACGGGGAGCTCCACTCTGCATTAAGCATAACTGATTTGAGAGGAACGCTGGGCAGACATTACCCGTTGTGTGTAGGTTGCCCAAACCACCCGTGGTGATGTGCAATAGTGAATGTAACTACACCTGTAGAATGCTATTCCTTCTAACACACGCAAGTCTGGGGATGAGGGTGGACAGTGAACACTGAGCATGTGACCCTCAACTCGGATGAAAAAGCTGTGATTCCAGTAGAGAGTGGTGGGGCGGAGCTGGACTGAGTGACGTGAACTCTTTGTCACTTATCAGTAGAGAGATGACTACGTCTGTGGATAGATTTAAGATACTAAGCTCCAGCAAAAATGTCGAAGACGTAAGTGTCATATTCTTATATGCATATAAGATTATATGTGATATAAGATACATGCATATAAGATCATACACATTTTAAAGGAAAATCCAAGCCGAGGAGCCACCCATAAACTCAAATAGGCAGAAGGCCAGGCGATGTGTAAATAATGTGATATCAGATCACTGGCATTCATCAGGCACACTGCACCCTGAATCCTTCTACTGGTTCTTACACCGATAGTGGACACTTGGAATGAAAGAGGTCTATTTACCCAAAAACTAATGAGGTCAACTAATCAACTGGTTGACTTTCCTTTGGTAGAGGCAACAACAAAGGAATCTCCTGGGTATTCTCTAGGGCAAAGTGAAATCCACCAGTGTTACATTCTAAGACACCAGATACCAGAAAGGCCACCGTTCCTAGAAAAAGCAATGAGCCCCACCCCAGAGCCAAACACCCTAGACTCCAGCCCCCAGGGGGCATACTCACCAGCCTCTCGGGTCGTGTTTCGGCTCGTTGGCTTGGGTGGAGGGACGGGGGCCTGCTTACCAGGAGCCTTGGTAATTTTTTTAATAGGAGGCACTTCGTCACCCCTGGGGCTTGCCCCGGCAGCAGCCCCTTTTGGAGGCACAGGTGTTTTTTTGGGCTTAGGTTTGGGTTTAGGCTTAGGAAGAGCTGGAGGAGACGGAACAGGAGCTGCTGGTGTTGCAGAGTGGTTTTCAGTGTTCTCTACAAATGAGAAAGTGAACAGAAGCAGACTGATACAGACACACACCATATAAATAGAAGGAGCAAGACGTACGGCGACAGTGATACAAGCACGTGGCTGCTCGGCCCTTCGGAACCAGCGGGGCGGGCCACACCAGCGGCAAAGAGGATCAGAGGTGCACAGGCTGAAGGCCAAAGCGGGGTGCACTGTCTGGGTACATGAATCATTCCTGCGATCAAACAGGGTCGCACGAGCTACTTTGATGAAGTTACACTGAGGACAAGTGTCAGTGTCCGCAGTCAGGGGCCGACACCAGCCATGAAGCAGCGGCTGCTGGACAAGGCTCTGGGCAGGGGTACTACATTTAAATTTATCAAAACTGAAGGGCGCCGAGAGTGGTCGGTGAGTGCACTGAGCACAATGCCGCGAGGGGTGACAGCAAGGCAGTGACTGGACTACCATTATTACCCTGGGTGCAGGGACTTTCTCTCAGGAGGACTCAAGCCCCACCAACAGGAAGGGGGTTTGAGCTCCGTCTCAAATTATGGTCAAAAATCAATCATTTCCTATGCTCAGGGAGACTCTGCAGACTCTTTTCCAGGAAGCACAGTGCATTGCCGAATAAACTATTTTCTACTATGAAAATTTTCTCAGGCTCTCACAGTGCACAAGGGCAGCTTCCTGTTTTCCAGTAACTTCCTCTGACCTTTTCCAAACAATGTCACAACTCCAGGTACAGAGGGTGCAGAATCCCCCAAAATATCACATTTGTTTTGCAATGTAAACACAAGTAACAATTTTGAAAAGACAAGGGTTGAAATTCATCAAAAAAAAATTCATACCCAAGAACAGAAGCCTTTCACAAGATTTTAGCCTAACTGGAGGAGAAACAGTCTGTCTCTCGTTATGGAAAGCGGAGACACTGAATGTTCATTCATGTACTCAACATCCGTATTATTTCTAATGGTGGCTGATTGAAATTAAAATAAATTAAAATACAGTTCTGGTCCAAAGAGCTAAGCAGCATTTCTTTAACAATGGAGCACAATAAAAAAAAACATCGGACAGCGTTAAGACAAGACTAATAAGCCTCGGGGCGTCTGGGTGGCTCAGTCGTTAAGCATCTGCCTTCGGCTCAGGTCATGATCCCAGGGTCCTGGGATTGAGCCCCACATCGGGCTCCCTGCTTGGCGGGAAGCCTGCTTCTCCCTCTCCCACTCCCCCTGCTTCTGTTCCCTCTCTCGCTGTGTCTCTGTCTGTCAAATAAATAAAATCTTAAAAAAAAAAAAAAGACCAATAAGCCTCTGCTGGATATATCCTCCCATTACTGAATGACCAGGAAGGGTTTTAATATTAGAATGCATCCCATTTTATTATTATTTCTTCTGTTTCATTTCTCATACTAGTGAGTGCAAAGTGAGAACTGCCATTTTTTTTTTTTTTACTATATCCCCTCAATCTACATAGATAACTACCATAAGAATGATTCAAGTTACAGTAGGTAATCAACAAAGCTTTTCTTTTCTCTTCCCCCAGCCATGAAGCCCACCACAGTCCCCTCTTGCCCTTAAACTTACTGGTATTTACGGTCTGAGCTGCTTGTTCAATATTTACCGGAGGCTACTTCGTATGTGTGCCTTTCTGTTTGCATATTGTGTCTTTTTAACTAAGTGGTGACTCTCCCAACCTCCCTGGTCTGAACCAGAAGGCCACTGAGTCACAAACGTCAGTTAGGTTCAAGAACAATACAAGTTGATGCCACACGTAAATCATTTCATTTTAACATAAAACATATAAACCTTTGTTGACTTGTCAGTCTTTTGACATGGGGCATAGGTCTGCTCTTTAAATACCTTTTTATGTGACTCTTTGTAAGATTAGACAGTTGCATAACGCACAGAGATGAAGCCCGATGATACTGTCCACGGTGAGAGCCCATCAGACTCATCTGCAACACTGGGAACCTCAATTCTCTTTCATGCTGCAGGTCTTAGCCTGTCCTCACAGGTCTATCACTAAGATCTTACTTCTTTCTGTCTAAAGTTTCAAATTCTCAAGCTGCATCCCCAAGAATGCAGTTTCTGGGTTTGGGAGGGAGGAGATGTTCACTCCATGACAGCTGAGAGTGACAATCCCAACTAGGTGAAAAGTGAACATGCTGTGTGCAAGCTCCTGGCGTTTGTGGATGAGCACCATCCACACCTCCGTCCTCTGCGACCCCTATCAATGCTGTGTGCGTGTTTGCCATATAGCCGATGCTTACGTCTACTCTGCGGCGAACCCTAAGGGAGCAGTGTGTCCCTGTGTGCCAATAGTATGCTCTTCGGACTAAATTATAAATTCCTTTTGTCTACATGTCTAAAATCCCATTAAACACAATGCTTTAAACAGGAGGTCTATTCAATGAATGCGACTGGCTGATAGTTATTAACACCATGTTGGTAGAAAACAAACTCTCTACTTGTATCTAAGAGGTAATGAATGAAGTTTTTATATTTTTTATTACCATACGACCTAAAGACATGATATAAACTGATGGTGTATAGGAGTATTATCTTTTCAAGAGAAGGTTAAGGAAGGGGTGCCTATTCATTCTGGGTTGATACAGATACTATGTTTTAAAACAATATGTCTGGAGGGGCGCCTGGGTGGCTCAGTCGGTTAAGTGTCTGCCTTCGGCTCAGG